CCTCTAGCCTCTGCGTCCAGACCGGCTCTGGGGCCCACCCAGTCTCTTATCCAAATGGGTACCGGGGTCCTTTCCCGGGGGTAAAGCCGGCCGGGGCGTGAAGCTGACCACTCACCCCCATCTAGTGCCGAGGTCAAGAATGAATAGGAGCTATAAATTCCTCTCCCCCGAAGTTACCTGCGTGGCGTGTAGCGGGACGGCTTTATTTCACTTTACTCTTACTGCGGCTTTACCTCCACGTTCATGGAGTTCTCGTCCTTGCCCACTGTCCTCGCGTGCCAGGCCTTGACGTCGTCTCTTCGCTTGTCGCTCATAGTGCAGATCGCTTTAGTCCCTTTGATGATATTCGGGCGATTTCCTGTGCCGAAGAAAGCAGAATTTTTTTTGTAAAAAATCTGTCGAGATTGCGCCCAGCAATGCGGAGAAGCAAAAATAAAATTAAAGAGGGAGAAGTGAGAGACACTATTTCAGGGGAAGAAAGATCATCGCTTTGTTAGAAGGTACCCAGGAAATGCCCACTCGTCTTTCTGATAAAGACAGAATGAGGGTGAACGCGTTAAGAGTGGTAAGCAATGAAAACTTGGTGACGAGAACGTAGAATTTTTTTTATTCTCTTATTAATGAATGTTGAAATGATAATTGTGAACAGTAATTTGGTCGCCTCTACAGTAACGGGATAAATTTTGATGAATGTTAATCGGGAGAAGCTAGGAGTAGTGACTTGGAACTTGTGAAGAATCTAAGTATTTTCTTAAATATCGAGAAAGACACACTACTAGCCATCTGTCCGGCAAACAAGAGAATGTTTTCCTCTATTATGTGCGCCGTGGGCTTCGTTGATAATTCCGATACAAGATTTTAATGAAACAAAATATGCATGTTTGTCACTCGATACACTTTGAATCCTTTGCCCTTCCGACAGACCTCGGCGGCCATAAAGGTCTTTAGAACTTTTCATACGATATGCATTGGAATCCCCACGACCAAGCGCCCACACGACGAGAAAAGTAATTGAACAACATGGACGAGACAGCTTAAATTAGGTGCTTAAGACTTACCGTATGTGAAAACGAGCTGGACAAGGTCTTTTTTGAGGTCGTAGACCCGACCCGAGAAGCCGATCACCAGGTGGAAGGGCTGAGCGCGTCTCAGCACCACGGTGGGGTTGTCCCGATGTAAAACTTCGAACCTGTCTGTGTGGTGCAGCTTCGCGTTTTCCATAGGGTACATGTGCACCGACGACACTACAAGCTGCTCGTCGTTTGACATGTCGAAACTGAAATCCGAGGCGTAGGGTAAGTCGGGGAGGATGTGCCACACTTAACACTTCGATGAACAAGTCTCGCCTGAACAGCACTTGGAATTTCACTGCCCTCCTAAAAGTGAACACAGTGATTTTCCACCAGAAAGATCATTTGCTTGTTGCCGCTTAGGGAAATTTTCGCTGTTTATCAGTGATTTTCCACCAGAAAGATCATTTTCTTGATGCATTTAGGGAAATTTTCGCTGTTTATTTTGGTATTTGCTTTAATGCAATTTGAATGCAAAACTGCAGTAATGCGAAAAGGATATTATGTCATTTACGTTAATTCTAGTTACATCAGGCTTCCGGTACGGCCATGTAATGACTTAACTCCTAACAGCAAAGTGTTAATAATATTTAACACACTTTTAATAATCAGAATCTCTGCAATTACGCACACAGTGTATTATGGGTTTCGTATGATTTTCATTCACGGGAAAATAATTCGGTAATCAAACGTTTAAACACAGAAAAAACATGTAGTTGGTGCGAGAATGTAAAACAGACATGCTCCCCCGATTGTATGTGGCAGGTGCCACCATATACTGTCATTAACAAAATCCTCCTCCATTCCGATTACACTTTCGAATGCATATCTCGTAGATTCAATGCGTTCTACGTGCCCCGCCCATCTCGTCCTCTTTCACTTGATTATCTTCTGTGAAGAGTAAAATCTACGAAGCTCAGCGCAATGTAATTTTTCTCCAATTTATTTTGCCTTAGAAAATTTATCTTTCCTTGAGAAGGTTTTATTTGCTTATGAACGTATATTTGTGCCTCAGAGTTGCATTTAAATGCATGCATTTGACAGCATCAGCTCCGGGATTAAGTAGATAATAATGTCACGTTCTTCATGTTTCCTATACGCACCGGCTCTGTTCAACTGTCCGGAGCTTCCTGCTTCGCCATTATCTCTGCCTGCTGCTGTCGTGTGTGCTCACGCTGCGATATTAAATATTGCAATATTTTGCTGAGGCGAGTAACTTTGTGCTGGGTGGGCCGAAGGGGCTGCATGAGTGGGTCAGAGCTAAAAGCATATTTGTCCTTTCCACCCTTGCTCAGCTGGTCCATGTAGTCCCCTGGGGGGGGGGAGTGGCTGAAGTGTGAACCTGGTCAATGAGCTCCATTTATTCTTATCACTTTACCCGATACGACGAGTTTTCTGAATTTTACGCATTGGGATAATTTTGTCTCGTATATCTAGCCTCTGCGTCCAGACCGGTTCTGGCACTCACCTCCATCTAGTGCCGAGGTCAAGAATGAGTAGGAGCTATACCACCTCTCCCCCTAAGCGTGTACATGGCGTATAGTGGGACTGATTTACTTTATATAAGCCATGCTGTTGATGGTATGACAAAATGTCTTTGGTGCTGATTAAACACAGTGTCAAGACGACGTGTGGTGGAGTGGTGACGTATTTCCACTCATTCTTGATCTGTGCACTAGATGGCGTGAAAATTCATCTTACAGAAACGTTAACCTGGCTCTGGAAAAGTTTAATTAGCTGGGTTTTATTTTTAAGTTGATGCATGTCCTGGTTCTACGAACGGAAATTTTACAGTCAGCTGAATAATATCGTGATTAAGTAATTTAAAATTAAGTTAGCATCTTCTCATCACAAGCTTCAACACAGAAAAAAAAATCATGGCAGAAGTCTTAAAACCTAGTCGCAAAACCCGTAAGTATTATTTTTTTTAGTCATATTTAGCTGACGTGAAATTGTAATTGGACAAAAATGTAATTTACCTCGTCGATTGTTTTGCTGGTCGAGTTAGTCCGTCCCAGGGGGTGGTCATAGGATCGCCTCCTGATAGTGTGATAATATTTTTGCTTGTAATTTTAAATGTCATAGACATTATTATTATTATTATTATTATGAATTGTTTAATTGGTCCACAAGCAGCAAAAAACTTCAGGCGTGTTGCCGTCATAACTCGGATGCTTGCAGGCCAGATGAAACTGTATTATTATTATTATTATTATTATTGGCCTTAGTTTTCTGCTTGGGAAGAACTTGCTGATTCAGTACAGAGTTTCTCTGCTTTAAATTATCGCACATAACCTCAAAGTTCCTCACTGTCGCCATCTTTGTTATTGCCAACTTACGTAAATAGTTCGCAGACATGTTTGTGACCAATCTCCGTACCAAATTTGACGTGCCAAGTTATTAGTTAGTTATAGTTATCAAACCGAGAAACAAATTGCATGCATATTTTGTTTTTACATCCTGAACAGCAACACACATTGGATTCATTTCAGAGAACATTTGTGATTTCAATACTTTGTACTGAGTGTCGTTTCCACATCAAAAGTTTGTGCGCCTCCCATATTTTTATTACCCATTCTAGGAAATTTAAAAAAAACATTACCTGTGAGGTCGGAGTTCCAAATTTGCTTACCAAATTTTTTGAAAATCCGTCCATCGGTTAAAATGTTGAAAGGAAGAACGCACACACACAGAATTACAATATTACAAACCCGCTTTAATTTTTAATTTACAAATGTAAGTCGGCTAAATCTCAACAAAATCTGTTTGCACCTTGTAAAGACAGAAATTTTTTCAATTGTGTTACTCTGAAACATTTTGTGACATAATCCAGTTTTGCCTTAGCTTCCGAGTGTTAATAAGAACAGTATGCACTTACTTTGTGTAACGTGACGTATTATAGAAACAGCTGATTGATGTTGAAAGTGAAAAGTCTTGTACACTTGTGAGTGTCCGAGTGGCCAGTCCTCTGCAGTTATCCTTCTCCGACATCCTCCCCCCTCCCCCCTGGAGCCAGTTCCCATGGCTGCGTGCGTTGCTAAATACACAGCAGAAGTCTGTCGGCTTCTCACGACGATAGGAACTTAACATCCTGGCTTTATCGCGATGGGAGATTGGTACAAGTCCCAACAGTTCAGCACAACTTCCGAAAGCGGGAGATATCCACTGCCAATGAAAGGACGTTGATTGTAATAATAGTACTAACTAACTAACTAACTAACTAGATGGCTTACCGAACCCGAAGGTTCATCACCGAATTAACCAAAGCCCTCCACCGGACCCTGTCCTGGGCCAACAAAATCCAGTCCCCTTCAACTCCTATCTCCCATAGATCCCGCCTGAGATTATCCTCCCATCTACAT